ATTTTTATATAGTTTGAGAATGGACTTTTCCAAGGTCATATGACAACTTAATGACAAAGAAAGGATTAAGATAGGTCTCTCTCTCTCTCTTTTTGGAGACAGAATCTCACTATGTTGCCCTGGGTAGAGTGCCGTGGTGTCAAAGCTCATAGCCACCTCAAATTCTTTGGGCTTAAATGATTCTCTTGCCTCAGCCTCCCAAGTAGCTGGGACTACAGGCGTCCGCTACAAAATGCCCGGCTATTTTTTGGTTGTAGTTGTCATTGTTGTTTGGCAGGCCTGGGCTGGATTCAAACCTGCCAGCTCCTGTGTAGATGGTTGGCACCCCAGCCACTGAGCTACAGGTGCCAAGCCTAAGACAGGTCTCTTGATGATTTTCTTTCCTTCCCATACATTTCTGCTGTTTCTTGGCCAAACCAACAAACTGGTGACCATGGGCAAGTCACTCAGCTTTCTAAGCCTCACCTTGTTCCTGAAGTCCTTATCTCTAAGGTCTATTGTGGCTCTGAAACTCAGTGACACCAGTCAGAACTGGAATCACATCCCATCCACAAAGCACTTCTTTCACTGCAATTATGGATAATCAAAACCATCTCTGAGTAGATCCCACCTTCTTCCACAAAGGAACTGAAAGCAGTGAGGCCTGTGAGTTTTTACACCAGCACTGAACAGAAGACAAGAGAAAAGTCAAATGGGGCCTGGGGAAATGCTGAAGGACTAAGAAATGCCAGTATCAGAAAATTCTCCCTCAGTCTCAAAAAGATAATTTTTCTGTGTGTAGCCAGGTGGTAGCTCCTAACCTATTGTTTCCACTATACAGGAGGCTGAGATAGGAGGATCCCTGAGCCTAGAAGTTCATAAGGCCAAGGAAGTAAATCCCATTTGAGAAAAGGTCTAAGAATTCTGGCACTGAACATCTGGCCCCAAAGGGAACCTCATCTGCTTTGTCAAATGGCCCCACTGTCACCAGCTGCAGTGGCAAACAGTTATTCCTACAAGTAGCTCAAAGTGCCTCCTGTGACTAACAAGTTCACCCAGGCTGTGGACTGCCAAATAGTTACTCAACTGCTCCAGCAGGACAAGTACAGACCAGAGAAAGCAAGGGAAACAGACTACCCGTCTGCTGAGGAGTTGTTGCCAGCAAAGATGTCCCTACTAAGAGACTACCTGTCCTTCAAGCAGGGATTAATTCCATCACCACCTTTTTAGAGACTGAGAAGGCCCAGCTAGTAGTGACCACATATGACATGGATTCCACTGAGTTAGCTGTCCTTCTACAAGCCCAGTGTTGAAAGATAGAGATTTCCTATTGCATTAAGGGGAAGCCAAGACCGGGACCTCTAGTCCACAGAAGACCTGTGCACTGCTGCCTTCATACAAGTTAACATGGAAGACAAAAGAGCGCTGAGTAAGCTGGTGCAAGCTATCAGGACCAATTACAATGACAGACATGGTCAGATCTGCCATCACTGAGGAGGCAATATCCTGGGTCTAGCTTGGTTAATGTGAGCTGGATGTCACCAAGCTGGAAAAAGCAAAGGCTAAAGAACTTGCCACTAAAGTGGGTTAAATGTACACTGTTGAGTTTCTGTATGTAAAAATAGTAGAAATTCTTGTTCCTCCCACGATCCCCAAAAAGCTTTTCTTTTTCACCAGAACTGCCATCTTCCAGTAATTCACCAAAAAGACAAAACACAAAGCATAAGAGAGGCAACTCTGGGCCATTTAGCAAACATGGAGCCACACTTATGAGAAACAACAAGAAATTTGATACTGCAGACATCAATGGATGTTCTTCAAAAAAGATTGTTTTTGAATCCCTAGTGGTATGTACCAACA